CAACAAATTATTTCTGTTATAGGACTGTGTGTTTATGCCTGAGTATGCATACAGTATATTTTGCATCATATACATATTATTGAACAATTAATAATAATACTATATACAGAGATTATAATAGTGTTCCAGTACAATATATCTATTGCAACTGTAACATAATAGTGGCCAAATAAGGGTATTCCTCCAATGATTACTATTGGCCACAAGGGGGCAGGATCTCCAAAGAAGTCCGTACCAATAAATGCTTTTAACATCGGCTAGGCTAACAGTAATGTGAACTATGATTTGTTGATTAAATAAGCAATAAGTTTGATTGATATTATTAGAACTGCGCGGGGTGGGGTGGGGGGGAGGTTTATATAGCGTGATAGTAAAAATAACAGAATATAACAGAGTTATAACTGGGTTAACATATTTTGACGCCTTGGGGGCAGACAACAAGATCTTCATTATTCAAGTTGACAGCATGCCTTGCTATTGTGTGTCATTTCATAATTTAATGTGTGTTTGTGTATTTACGTTGTGAATAGTAAATGCCGTAACCGTGTAGTCTTTCACTAGCGTGTTTTTACTAGCGTGCACCCTGAGTGTAAGTGCTGTGTAAACATTTGGCTTCCCCGTCTGTGCTGCTACTAGTTAAACACTTCCAATATGCTGTCGGAAAAAGAAATTGTCTCCTTTGGTGAAATGGACCCCTTATTCACCGCAATGGTGTCAGAAGTGGAATTTCAGGTCTTTGATAAAATCGGCAGCACATTTAGCTGCAAGCACCAGATATGCTGGCTGATGCTTTGCTGACACAGGAACGGGAGAATGAGAGTGAGCAGCGCACAATGCTGAGCATTGGTGCTCACAGGCTCCTCCATCACTGTCATCTGCCTGGATATCCTCCCAGGCTCTGACCAGCCAGACAATGCACAGCAGTACAACAAACAGCGGTAGATGCAGGCAATGAAATGACAATGCCTGAGAGCCACCTATCGTAAGTGATGGTAATATATAAGAGAAATAAAGTATGACAGTAAATGGCAATAGCAAGACAGGAATATATATATATCACTAAAAAATAAAATGTGCAAATTGCCCACACTAATAGTCTGATGAGTTACTGAATAGTCTCACTGCTTGTGGGTCAAAACCATTGTCGAACCTGTTTGTCCCTGTTCTGACAGTGTATCACTCATTTTTGTTTTATAGATATTGCAATATTTATTGCAAAATATACAAATATTGCTAAGTGAATTTTTTTATATCATGCGGTATGGGCATAGTTAAAATGAACTGTTCCTTATCTGCAAGCACACAATCTCATGCAACACAACACAAATTTTAATGTTAGATCTACAATTTGAAATGGATTTTAATTTGTATTTAATTTTAGGCTACAGATTGTGATGAATATGAAAAACAATGTTTCTTTCTCTGCAACAAGTTGAACGGTGAAGTTTCTCCACTGATCATCCAAGCCCCTCTAGCACTTGTGACAGCTACATTTCTATGGGCATGAGGGTCTGCAGCATGGCTTGACTGGCCATCTGGCATTTTCCCGGTGGGCTCATGGGTTTGTGGGCCAGCAGAATTAATCGTGGAGAAACCCCCAGCACTCATTGTGGGAGACCCCAACAACCACTGCCGATTATAATCCCAGTCCAGCCCTGATCAGCAGATTTCACAAAGTGATGGCACTGTAGGTCCTACAGCAGGCATACGCTGCCATTGTAAAAGGAGCAGCCCATTAATGTAACATCCAGAACAGCCATTGCTTTTCAAATGCACTTTATATATATGACATAATCGCCGCTAATCCTCAGCACACATCTGCTACCGGCATTTTCCTCACAATGACGGGGTGGGGCTTACCAGCGACCTGTTTATTCCTGTAGATGTGCCATCAAAAATACTGCTCCACCCACATCTCTCTCAAAAGATTCGGAGATCTTGTGCACTAGCCTACCTAATTGCCACAAACGTCCGGTGTTTGTCAAACCACGTTAAAGAAAATTAAATAAGAAATATGTGTGTGGCTGCCTCTCCATCCTGGGTTATTCCCTGCCTTGTGCTTAGTAACCTCCAGGATAGGATCTGCACCCCTGTGACCCTGAATAGGACAAGTGGTTTCAGAAAATGCATGGATGGATGGATGGATATATGTGTGCATTACTGTCTATATTTTTACAGGAAAACTATGTTCGTTGGTTAAACCCTGGAAAGATTTAAAGCGATGCCACAATATTTTGCTGATCATGAAATTAATTGGATTTTCCTATTACAAGAAAACACATAATGTAAAGGTTAGCCTACTTTAACTTAGGTAATGCTGCATTTAGTGTTGACTGAGACTTAAACTATTTTTAGGGAATTTAGGTATAAAATAATAAAACTGGTATGAAGAGTGAAATGCCATTATATCTCATGAAAATCTCACAGCATAGAAACATTCATCCATTTTCTGCAGCTGCTTACCTAAGTCATGGGGGATCTGGAGCCTTTGGGCACAAGACAGGGATTAACCCAGGATGGGACGCCAACCCACTGCAGGGCACAGTCACACCTACGGGCAGTGCTGGTAATGCCAGTAATGCCTGTGTTTTTGGTCTGCTGGGGGGAATTGGAGTACCCAGAGGAAACCCCACAACAGCACAGGGTGAACATGCAAACTCCACACACCGGGAATCCTGGTAGAGACCTGAACTCGGGTCCCAGAGGTGTAAGGTGACGGCACCACACTGCCACCCAACATAGAAACATAATAGGCCTGTATCGTCAAAAGTGAGGACTGAAAATCTCATTTCCAAATATCTTTCACAATATTGCCACATGCAGCTGGGTATAAACTCGAGTTCATTTTACAGCTACGCCTGTCAGCAACGATGTCAGAAGTTCTTACCAGCGCCTGTCAGCGACTAAATGGACAATGAGTGAGTTGATAATACTCAGTATATTGCTTAATTTGGATTTAAGTGTATCTCTGTATACTCACCAGAGTCGTTGGCCGCTGTGAAACTTCCATCTGCTTCCAACTGTATGAATGATCTCGCTTATAAATAATAACGCTTATGCAACATACGTTTAAAAAAATATTGGCTATGTGTTACTGGCAAATCGCGTTTAAACGCCCGCAAAGCGATTATGTTGTCAGAAACACTTATGCTTTTAAAATTTTACGATCAAAACTGTGTTCGGGGTTTAAATCTTCTTTGTATTTTTACTTAAAAAAAAAAAAACTGCGGGGTTACGTCATATTAAAGGTAATTTAACCTGGGCGGCTGTAAAAAAAATTAGGCAAACAGATTAGCGGAACAAAGCTCCACAGAAGAGAATTCATGCAAAACCACCTTATTCATAATTGTAAATTATACGACCGGACATAACGCGACCGGATTCATACGAATACCCCAAGCTGAGAGCCTATCGTTGTCGTTATTATATGTAGATTCTTTTTAATCATAAATAATAGTATAGAACAGTATAAAAGAGCTAACAAAGTATATACATAAAAAATAATGAACAAATAATAAAAAATAACATGAAGAACAATAACAACCGTAATAATAAAATAATAATAATATTAATAATAATAATGGCGATATCATTATTCTTACTGCTACTCAGACGTACCTTTATTGTAGGTGATGCATTTTAGGTGTCGTAAAAAAAGTCACTCTATAATAATAGACGTTCCTTAATCTCGAGGAAAAACTTTTAAATGAATGCGATATTAATTGTGTATGATGGAGTTCACAATAAATAAATACATATCTGTTTTAAGCTTATAATAAAAAAATAGGCCTATTTGTATTTGTTTTAGTAGCCCTGCTTTTAAATATTGATAACTAAAAGTATTTGTATATAAAATGTGTTTATCCTTCTTAACTAATTCGAATCTTAAGATCTGAACTCTTCGATGCCAAGTGCTTTAAGCAGTAGCACATCTGAGGTATTTGTGTACGAAACCCGCTGACTGTCAAAATGCCGACAAGAAATAAAAACGGAAATAGTCTAAATATCAACCGGCATTTATTTTTATTATACAGAAAGTCAAAACAAGAACACGGTTATTTAACTACATTAAAGTACAACTTTAATCATTTTAGTAAGTGTGTAGCCCCCTTCCCCAATTATATTTACAGTATTTACATAAAAGTACATTCTAAAACCAATAAGTCACTACCGCCTTCGTGAAAAGATCAGAGAAATTACAAAAGCCTTGTTTAGCTTTGTGTGAAGGATGAAGACTCTTGACTGTAGTTTTTCTTCCCCTGGAGGAGGTGATAATATCACAATGACTGAGAAAATAATGTCCTCCTCTTTGAGGAAAGACAACGTGTAAGAAGTTTCCTTGGTCTGTCCTAAAGGCTGACTCCTGTCCCGGGTGTCTATGGAAGTAGACATTTTAAATAATTTCTTCATGCCTAGAATAATTTTACAAATGTTTTTATGTCCATCTTGCTGGTAATGCTATTTACGAATGAGACTGTCGCTGATGAAATTGATCAAAATGTTGTGTGATCTTTAGCCATTGAATGCTGTCATAGCATTGCTCCAGGCAGAAACACGTACGTTTCGCACGGCTCCCTCCCTTTCTGTGTTTCCCAGGCTGCAAGGAATGAATCGCATTCATTCACAGTCCATGCAGCAAAGGATGTGGGTATTATTTTGGGGTTGACCGAGCGAACTAGCTGCTGATTTGTTCACCAAAGATGTGATCATTTCTTCTAACTAATTAAAACAACACATGGGTCCCCTTTGCCATGTGTAGTATAATATCCTACGCCCTAATGCAGACAGGATGCTACTGGAATGAAAATTAACATACATTAGTGGGATGTGAATGGGAATTTCCAGAGGTGGAAAGTTCAGGTCCAGAGAATAAAAATCCAGACCAAGACTTTGTTTCAACCAACCAGTTGAGTACTCTGTGACTCTTTATAGTTAACTTGACAATAAAGAGTCACAGTCACAGAGTACTCAACTGGTTGGTCTTTGTAGTCTTTATAGTCAACTTGACTATAACGAGTCACAGTCACAAAGTCTAGCTCTGGATTTTTACTTTCTGGACCTGAACTCTGGAATTTTCTCATCATATGTAAAGTGAATCCTGAAGGATGTGTTTATGTGATTTGTTTACAGGAATTGCTTTTCTGTGTCTGGCAATTGAGTCATTCTTTTAAAGAGAAGACAGACAGATTGCTGTTTTGAGACACCTGATTGTTAAAAAAAAAAAAAACTAAACATGGGAACATGTACAACTGTAATAGGTAGGGAGTCCAATAGGTCTGGGTGCACCAGAACACAGGTGTAGGTGTAGGTGCACTCGCGAGGACTCTTAAAGTAGCAGACAGTCAATCCCTTCGAAAAGGTGCCGGTCTTATTGACCTTTGTCCTCTTCCGCTGGGCTTATCTCATCTCTGGACCTGTCGTCCAGCACCTCGGCCTCCACCTTTCGGCCCGGTGCGTCCCCCGACACTGTCCCCAGAACCTTGGCGCTGTGCTCCTGTGCTTTAGCCCTAAGAGCCGCGATGCTGTTCTCCCTCAGCTCTTCTTTGGAAATGGGAGACTTGCTCTCCGCCATGCGCCCCTCTGCCTCCCGCTCGTCCGCTTTCTGGGTGGCGGGAGGCGGGATGGTCTCTGGCTTCCCAGCTGGCAGGGCAGCCACACTCTCCATAGACTTTTTGTGCATCCCTGTAAAGAATTGTGGGTACTTGGATTTAGACAAGCGTCCTGTCATTGGAAAGCCATCTTGAACTGAAAATGGTAAGCAAAGAAAGAGTCCAGAGTAAGCTACAATATGACAGACACATTCACTGATTTGTTTTTTTGCTGAACAATACAAATGTATGGGTATGACATCACTGATGATTACATCATTGCATCTCCTGATGTTTCAAATGGTCTTTCATGAATACGATTGTCACTAATGGCGCTTTTCCACTGGCATACAGGAACCCAATACCCAAGCTGTACCACACAGTGCGGTTCCAGCTCGCTTTGGTTTTCCACTGCAGCAGGGTCAGCTTGGTAAAGGTGTTGCTGAGTCTGAAGAGCAACAGTGAAGTAAGATCGAAGAGATGCATATAGACTGCTCACCTGGTGTAGACCATGATTTACTATGTGCAATTATCATTACTTTATTTCTGTGTGCTAATTTCCACTAGCATTCGCTTGTGTATAATCTGCATTATGAATCCATTCCATCAGCTGTTTTATAGTACTTTTACAAGCAGCAATTTTCAAGTTCCAAGTGTTCAGGAATGCATTGTGATGTGCCATACTACTAATAAAGAATAATATATTCTGTACAATATATGCTGTTTTCTTAAGATAATCCACAAGCAGAACACTGGTATCTCCGTGAATTTCGACCAATGAGATGGTGGTGACCAACCAACCCCGTTTGGTCATGCTTTCCACCCTGGAACTAGGCAGGGTCATATCAGCGGCTTGACTACGGCTTGGTGTAGCTCATATACTTTGAAATGGAAAAAGCACCAGTTCATGGAACCGGTCCGTTACGGCTTGGTTTCTTGGTGGCAGTGGAAAAGTGCCATAATAGTTGCACAGAAGGAATGGAAATGATCTGAGGGACAGGTGAGGAAATGCATGTGTGTATCAATGCATATACTTTTTGACACTTAAACAAATACGTGCAAACCTATGAGTGAGTTTCTAAAATATAGATGCAGATGACTGGCTGTCTTAACCCTCACTGTAACGAGTTGGAGCAGCACTCAGTCTGATTGTACCCACACATGCCTGATGCTGTAATGCCCATCAGATAAAAGGCAGGAAATATCAGGTTTTAGTGCTCATGTTTTTCCATTCATCCTATCTGTGAGATTATAAATAAGGGCAACGCACAATGAAAAATAAAACTAATCACACTATTCAGGCTGGATTAAAACCCATCCACATTCCGACCCCTGGAAATGGTGATGGAAACCCCTTGAGCTAACCCCAGGATTCACAGGGCACAATGCTGGGTACGCCCTGGACGGAATGCCAGTCCGGTGCATGGCACATACATACACTGGTAAGCATTTATACTTCATGAGCAACATAAAAACACCTGATAACCTAAATGTATGCCCTTGGACTGCAGAAGAAAACTTGCTTGAGACAGGGAGAGCATGCTAACTTCACACACACAAACACACATATACACACATATATACTGTACACACACAGACATATATACACACGCACACACACACATAGACATATATACACACGCACACACACACATATATACAAACACACACACATATACAGTATACACATATATACACACACTCAACACAAACTTACATCCACAGACCCTCAAAAACATATATATAGAGATCCCCTTTTCATGTCCACTCTGGGCTTTTTCAGGAAATTGCGTGGTAGGAGAGCCTTCTTCCCAGATTACTACAATCATTCAGCAAGAGCAGAGGTGTCTGTCTGAATTTCAGCTCTGCAGTCAGTCTCTGCAAACTCTGCACTTTGTGATTTCAACTAATTACTCTTAAGAACGGTTCAGTAATTGATAGTCCTAAGACAAACAGGCACTGGTGCTGAGGGGGACTGGGATCGTTCGAATGTTGTCTCGATTCTGTGTGTGTGTGTGTGTGTGTGTGCGTGTGTGTGTGTGTGTGTGGTGCACCTGCACTTGCCAGCTGGAATGAATTTCATCCAAACTTCACATTGATTTCTGCTTATCAATGGACTGACTCTCAAGACAAAACGAGGGATTCTCATTATCCAACTCAATTAGCCAGGGCGATATTCTGTAAGACATTGCTAGTCATAGGTGCCGAAATAATCCTGTTCAGAATCTCCAAAACATGGAGACACGATCCCTTAAAGGAAAACCAACTGGTGCCGAGAACTTCAACAGGAAGTTATATATACATTCACATTTATCCATTTAGCACACACTGTGGTCCAAAACACTCCAAATGTGACACACTGAACTGTTCTGTCTACTTGTTTCCCTTTAAATGTTTTGAAGGAACCTACTATAATGTCATAATGACTGATTTAGGGTGCAGATGGACAGAGGAACGAGCGAAGGAGTGGAAATGGGGAACAATCAGCATAAGAGTGCAATTACATACCAAGCAGCCAGGGGGCGCAGGAATCCATAATGCCATCCTTAGCTGATTTGAGTATGGACTCAGGCAGAGGTATGGAGTGGCGCACCATGGCGCCATAAAGGCCGTACTCCGCCATCACGCTGCTGCGGCCCCAGCACTTCTCCCGCTTCCTCCACTTGGCCCGACGGTTCTGGAACCAGACCTGTGTGGAGACACCATGGAACATCAGTATGGATCCAAATCAAGTAACGGAGCAGCATAACTGCCATGAACACCGACTGACAGTCTCACAGTCCAGAGTAACACTGACATCACCCAGAACAACCGACAACAACAGTGACGCTAACGGAGCCACAGACGCGTCATGAAGAGCAACCTACCAGTACACTGGCCATCTAAACACTGACACCAGTCAATTCACACTGGTAATTATAATAAAACCTAGATGAAGACCCACAAGACAATCAGATGCGTATTTTGAATGATTCATATATAATTGTGGAATTTTCATTATTCAATTATACACACAGCTATATTCACATCAGTTAGGTTTTATATTAGCTGAAGTATGCACATGAAACAGCTTTAGACAGATGTAAAGTTGGCTCACTATGCCAGGCAGTGAGCATGTGTGTGTGTGTGTGTGTGTGTGTGTGTGTGTGTGTCGACAGCCCCAGCAGGCAAAAGATGACACTTCTAAATAAGCATTGTGTCAGGACGTCCCTTAAAATGGCCCTGTGAAGCTGGTCACAGCGGGGGGGGGGAGGCACCCGTAAGCTTATGCAGACTTATACACATGCATATTCACAAATGTGTACAGCTCACATACACATATGCCTTGCACTAACACTAAGACACACATCTCACCTATATCCTCTTCTTAAAAACATTTGACAATGCCATCACCACACAAGCAGTTAATAGGATGCCAAACATGCTCTTTTACGGACTCTTTCCATGTTATAAAGGAAACTTGATTTATTTGACAAATATTTTCATTTAAAGTTGTTTACTCAACTTTCCAATGCTTAACAAGAATAAAAAATCAGCAGTGGTACCTGTGGCATGCAAAAACTTTTGACTGCTGGTATGTGTGTGTGTGTGTGTGTGTAATTTGTTAGTCATTCTTCATGTAAATTGCACAGACACAAACCCATCTCACATTCACAGGATGCACATTAAGTAATTCCACCAACACCGCCACCCCTCAGTGACAGGCTGTTTACGCCACCGCGCGTCTGACTCCCCACCAGCCGCCGATGCCTGGGGCTCCCAGTTAGATGGCTGGTTGTCTAAATTGATTTTCACTCTGCTCCTGCAGTGTTTAGCCTTCATACTTTCATAGATGCTTATGTAAGGGATACAGAAATTGCGAACGGGGTGGCGGGGGGGGGCGTCCATAGAATAATGCTTTAGTGCTATTGCCTCTGCCTGTATGTGTGTAGAAGGGGTGTTGGGTATTAAATTAAAAATGATCAAAACCGTTTTAGAGCCTTTTTTCGGGTAATTCCGATGATAGCCTCTATCTCGTACACGAGATGTGTTCCTGATGAAAAATTGCTTCTCCAGCACTCAAAGGGAACCGAGAGGGAAACGTGAGGCAAAGCGACCCCTGGGGCACGCGAGGGCTGATTGAAAAATAAGTTAATTTCAAGCCCAATCGATGGTCGACAGGCGCGCAAATATCACGGGAAATTAAACCAGCGGGGCCCAGGGGAACTCCGCCATTGACCCATGCTAATTAATTCAATGTAGTTATTTCATTTTAACTCCTCGCGTCTAGAGCTGGCCTCCCCCCCGGGGAACGTGGAAAGCTCATCTGATTTAACTAATTACACCCGATGAGAAAATTGGGTGTTAATTTTGTTTAGGGTCGAATTCATTTTATTATTTATTTAATTCGGCAAGCTATTTATTTCTTTTTATTTCGCCGCGAAGAGCCGTAATGAAAGTGGAATTAAAAGGCAATCTGACACACGGATGGGCTGGGTCACCCCGCAATCTCCTCCAATCTGCTGCAGCGTTCATTGCGTGATTAGGTCGTTAGCACTGGTCTGGGGGAAAAATTACATCCAACTTGCGCCTGATGAGAAAGTTCGGCCGCGGAGTGTTGCGGGGGGGTAGTAAATAATCTTTTTTAAGAGTCAGAGAGGACACGAGGCACTGAACGCTAATCGATATACCGGGAAAAGTTGACAGTAACGTCTAACAGAAGGCAGTTTTACCGTCTGGCATCTTTTGCCAATTATTTTTGTATAACTTGTGATGGCTTACAGGGTTCCTTAATACTACTAGACGTTAATAGATCATAAAGCGCACGGACATCTAATTTACGTGTATGTTGTTTTACATTGTTTTGAAATATTTCAATATTATATAATAAATATTACAGCAATATACCTCCACATATACTATTAATATATAACATTAATATAATCAGTATTTTCACATATAGGCCTAATTAGCCTACTGTTTACATGTGAACACGTATAATTCTTTGATTCTACATTGTTTTCGAATTTGCACAAAATTTCCATATAAATACCACTTGTGTCAGAAATGCGAAATGTGATATACGAGCCAAACGAACAGGTGGAAACTTCTAGAAAATGTATAGCCTAATCGTGATATCGCTGTTTTCCAAAATCTCATTTGAGTGGTATTACGTTTGTCAAATGATTATTTCTAAGGGAAATCATATATGGATAGGCTCCCCCCTCCCTCAACAAGCAGACAGGCAATCCTGCATGCTGTACCTGTATCCTGTCCTCAGGTAGTTCTGTCTTCATGGCCAGCATTTCTCGGGCGTACACATCCGGGTAATGTGCTTCGTTAAACGCCTTCTCCAGTTCCTCAAGCTGGTAAGACGTGAAAATGGTTCTTGAAAGTAAATGAGAGCAAATACGAAATATTTAGGCAGATATTATTTTAGATATTCAGTTGTACTAATTAAAGCATGCAGTCACACGTCTTACTTAAGTAATTCAAAATTAACAGCATATATAGCCTACAGGTGTTTTACCCGATGCGGTGAAATATCGAATGCAAGCCAGTTAGGCCTATTAAAGTTATGAAACGTATTAAAACTGTTATGTAAAACTCATATATTTTTATATAGAATGTAATCACCTGCTAAATAGTTGAAACGACCTTCACAGAGTTCAGGTTTGATCCTTTAAAAATTGCGTTTCATATTTTTTCCACATATACAATATATGAGGAATAAAGTGCGGATGGTCCCACTTCTCTTAAACCAGTAGGGATAAAGGGTTTTCAGCAAATAAACAATGCCGATGCCACGATGCTTACCCACAGCCACGGTGTTATTCCATCACGTGAAAATTGTGGATTTATTCGAGAAAACAAATATTCCCGCTCCAGTCCGGCCACGACAAAAACACCCAAATCAAATACTAGTCTATTTAAAACGAAACTTTACTTAGCCTAGCGGATGCAAACGAACGAGCAAACTCGTTTTCAACGTTGTAGTTTCATCATTATCATTTAGATTAAAAGAACACGGTTTTCAGAAAGGCGGATCAAATAAAATGAGCATCGGTTAATTTAAAAACCGCTTATATATTTTTGTGCGCGGTTCAGGGTGTATTACTTAAATTTGATGCAACCACCGAACAAGTTCTGAAAGGTTTCCAGGATTGTGGTGCAAGGAAGACTGCACAATTTTGCCAGGTGGATTTCGGTAAAATACACACGGGATGGAGAAACGAAATTTCATTATTAATTAGACCCCTATATGATTCGCGCTGTATTCCTTCAAATAATGTAAAATTTCTGACGTAGCAGAAATTATGTCGAATTCATATAAAAAATTCCTAATTTAATTTTGCTATATTGAAATAATGTTAATGTTAATTTCGTTATATTAAGTATATTTATCATAAAACAATAAAACTGTTTTCTATACACTTATATAATGTACTTTAAAGGTATATTTTATTCCTAATCAAAAAGAGTAAAAAAATGCATAAAATCAATATTATTAATTTGATTTTATGAAGAACTAAAGTAAAATAGTTTTAAAAATGCCTAAAGAAAGTTGATTTAATATATACACACGCACATACATATTTATACAGACATATAACGAATAACGAATTTTGCGTAGTTTCACAGTGACGCTCTAATTTACCGATGCCTCCTCTTCTTTCGTTTCTTGCTTTGGCTCAGCGAAGACTTCGATAATTTTCGTTCGCTAGATGAAACATCGTCAGAATCTGTAGAAGATAAAGATTAAAAACTGTATTTATCTGGCTATTCAAAGAAAATACATTTTCAAATACAGCATATACTAGTGATTTTTTAAAGAAAACCAAACAAATGTTACACGCGGTAGGTGTAGCGTTCAATACCATAAATCATTCTTTGATATAATTGTTCTAAATTACAAATACCCTTTATGTTAGAATTATAATATACAGTTTTAAATAGAATTTAAAAAATAAGCTCGATCTGTGAAGCTGAAATTGCATTTGCATCCTTTATATATTTATTATTCATATAAAAATATAACTACTCACATATTAATTGTTGTTTTAAAATTTGTAAATGTTCCAATAGACTATTCGTTTTTGCTTAGCGATAATGACAGTGAAAATATGCATATTTATGGGTAATATTTTTAACGAACGAATCGAATGCATATTTAAAATATATTTTTAGGATTTTTTTAACAGCGAATTTTTAAAAACACGAAGTAAGCTATTCTCTGAAATATTGTTCACGATCACAAATACAGTACAGCACAACCAGGCGGTTTTAGTCTCCGCAGGAATCCCTAATAGCCTAATTGATGTAAACGAACGGGTACCTGAACTGGCAGATTGGCTGGCGTCCAGCGGACCAGTGGTTCTGTTAGGGGGCTGCAGGTGGACGTTCTGCGCATCTGACAGGACCTCCAAAAATGCAGGTTGGCTGTAGAACGAGGGGATTCCTCCTGGGCCAATTAATCCCATCCCGACCCCAACGCTGGCGGGACTTAGCATGGACCTGGCCGCAAGCAGGTGCGCCCCGGGCGGCAGAGACTCCAGCGTGCTCCTCGGCGCCGAGGGGGGCTCTTTATTCAGGCCTAAAATCTCCTGGATTCCGAATCCTGTGCACCTGGGAGTGTGGGTCGTGCTGTTTTTCGACGGCTGGTGGCTGGTTGGCATCGCATTCTCAGTGGGCGAGCCCGCTTTAGACTTATTTAAACCCTCCGATATCACGGCCCCTTCTTTGCCTGTCATGGTGTCTTTGATGATGCTTCGTATCTCCCTCTGCACAGGTCGGTCCCTAGTGCACTCTTCACTATGAAATGCATATTATCCCTTTAGAAATTCCCTTTTTATCCAACAGGTCCATCCCAGCAAGGGTCAGAACTCGGCAGCCAATCAGCAGCGAGAAAGCAATTAGGAATTCGGGAGAAAACGGTCTCTCACAAGTAAGCGGCATCGAATGTTGGTACATACATTATTTAGAGAGAATCGACCACTTTATTCATTCCTTAGGTCTATGAACCCGTTTGACGTATATGAATTTGATAGAGAACAGTTCGGGGGGGGGGGGGGAGTCGGAGGATACAACTTACCGACTGAACAAAACGAAAAGAGTTTCCGTACATCAAGACTATGGCAGCGGCTATCAAAATTAAAATAGTATTCTGCCAGTCAGTTTTTACTGAGGTAAAATTCAAAATTTAAAATAAGTGAAAAATAAAAGGTAAAGGGGACTAAGAATGACAGACCTTATCTTATAATCTGTATTAATGATTACTGTAAAATTAAACCGATCGACACGAAATTCGCAGGTACATCGATTTAATTGAAGATAGAAAACGAGTAGCTATTTCATTTATGTTTTTTCTACAGAATTAATAACTTTCAGATTGGCGTTAATGAGAAACGGTAACCCGATGTTTTCCATTCAGGAAAAACGGTCTACTGATATTTGCAGTTATTTGTGATTAACAATAAATCGGTCGATATTGCAAAGTATTCGACGGACTACTAGGCCCAAACTGGTTCTCTGTATTATCTTTAGGTGCTTTCTAAGCAAATAGATGGATTGCTGATTTCACGATTGGTTTGAAGCGAATCATAAGCGGATAATTGATGTCTTTCCAGAGGTGACAGCTGTACGGGTCAGTGTTCCTGCGTCCAAAGCCTCACCAATATTTTTCGTGTAATTGTATGTAGAATTAATGTCTTCAGGAACAGTCAGAAAATCCATATCATGCAGAGGCCTAAGCAAATGAAATGTAACTATGCTGGAAATCAAATGCTTACGTAGTACGTTACGGAGCAATATAATATAATCGTCGTTTACAAAACGCAAGATAGTATCTTGTTAGCGCCATGTTAAACAAGCGATCGGTCCGACATGGAGGACAGTGAAAGATGCTTTCTAAACATCAAGTGGCTCGAGATGTATAGAGTGGTCTTGAACCCAATCCGGATTCCTGTCTTGACAGATAATTAACTTTAAAGGTTAGAAAAAGAAGACCGCACAAAAATTAACAGGATGGGATGGGAAAGGAAAAAGGGAAAAAGGGAAAGCTAATTGTATAAATAACAATTTAAACGAACAATTGACAATACAAATGAAATACATTTAAGTATGTAATCAAACCTATTTGCAGATTCCATAATTATGGTTATCATTCCTGTGTATATCGTTATTTTTACTTGTCTTACTGGTGGATTATTTCCATTTTTTATTCTAATCCACGGCGCAATCCCAAGCAATTATATTGCAGGAGCTTTGCTGCTACGGCATTTTGAACATTAACGGTACTTATTTTTAGACGAAGGCATTCTGCTTATTTTTAATATTTTAATGGAAATTCCAGATTATTGCTTCGTCGTTTATGCAAAATATCATCCGGCTGAAAAGCACAGTTTAAAAGAAGCAGCAAAAACAATCGACCGCTAGCCATACTCGAAATTAAAAAATATTTTCTTTTTCTATGGAAGCAAGTGTTTTCGCATTATCGATATATTCAATGCGTAATTTATAAATCTTTCTGGTTTTCTAAAAGGGTGATTATAATTTTTTTTAAATCTTACCTAATTAGCTTACACAGAGATGTAAAAGGTTAAGATGGTTACGTCGTAGATCTGCTCGTCACACTAATGAAATAACACGCGCAAAGTAAAAAATCAATGAGTGTTACTTTCACTATACGCCTCATCTCAAACCCCCTCCCTGTCTCCCAGTTTTTTTCCTTTTTTTTGGCAAACATAATCCCTACCTCATCAGGTCGTAAAAGATCCTCTTCGCAAAATAAAGTCTTCATTTTGTGACAAATCAGCTTAATTTGGAGCAATTCAGGCCGAGGCCAGACTTGATTTGAATAATAAATTAATCCTTTATTGCTAATGCTTCCTTTTGAGGTAAAATGTAAAACACCTTTCCCAGGAAAAATATAAAATGCAAATAATTTTAAGTTTTTCGCGTAATAGGTTCGTCAAGGCCTTAATATAAATCTTTTATTATCCCGATAAACGCAATTCACCTGTTTTGCCAACGGAAGAACCTGCAATGCAAGTTTTTTTTTATTTATTTGTATCCCCTCTGGTGACAGTGTGACATTGCCTTTGACAGAAGACTGCCTAATTTTTTATAGCCTATTTTCCAGATTAATAAAGCTGTGCGAGCTCATTCATAATCATTGCTGTTAGATGCATTTCCATTTCCCAAATAAATTAGAAATTGGTTAAGCAAAACAAACAACAAAATGCTTTATCGCTATTATCGTTTTAGTAGTTAAATTCGCCCTTTATTATCTTTTACATATTTCGATCCAAATATTTGAATGTATATCTTTCGCAAATCTGTTGGCACAATTGTTATTTATATTAATCAATAATAAATCAGTCACAGAGGGGGGAAAAAAAGCTGCAGCATTATATTTTAAAACTGTCTAAAACAAATGTTTGAGTTTTTGGAAAGGTTTTATTAACACATCAGAATTCAGATTCTAGACAGTATTTCAAGCGATAATTACCAATCAAAGAGGAATAACTAATTAATTGGATAAAGACGGCTCATAAACATTAATCCCCAACGTGTAATTCATTTGCAATTCATTAGCATATTCTAATTCGAGCTGCATACTAAATATTGTTTTTGTTGTCTTGTACATGGCGTCCGTCTGAGCGTGTATCATACATCTGTTGATATTTATCCTAAAACTTTTAATCGTTAATATTTTTTTTATAAAAGTAAAAGGCCATATTGCGATTACGCCTCCAGATACCGTAGTAAATCAATGAGCAAGAAATCCGGCCGTTTTTAACTCGCAGAGACAAACATTGAAAGCAATTACTGCGGAGAACATTTAATTTAACTGAATCGACGTAAAAATTGCCACAAAATCACAGGTCTCTAAAAGCGACCATCAAATTAGAGCTAAGCGAACACATGGTGCTTAGGTTTCTCTTGACTTTCATTTGCTCCCAATGTAATTTATAAGCTTCCGTATTTTCCAGCCACGCCTAACATCGTCAGTTAGAAGATCTGCTTGCCAATAATCTTCCTCGGGCGGCATTACTTCACAATGATGAGTAGCTATCCCACTAAAGTAATTGACTTTTTCGTTCGTAACACGTTGCTCTTTATCACACCGTCATCCAAAAAAAAGCATTTGTTTTATTTTCCCTTAACGGTTAATCGGTTATATTTTTTACAAGAAATTTAATTGATAAAGGAAGCGGATTTGTGGTTAGTACATGTAAATAAGCAGGAAAGACTAGAGCGCACTTGTTGATTAATATGTAGGCCTACTTAGCGTAGTCAAGGTCGCCAGAGAAATTGGAGGATTATGTTTAACAGCTGGATATGAAACAGCGATAAGCAGGTCGCGTGAGGTTACGGTAGATGGCGAAATAATGTCAAAGATCGCCACGCGTTATCTGATGCAGATCCTGTCTGTGACCCGTGGAGTGGCGTGGATTATAAGAGGTTATTTCATGTGGCATAGTTACATCGCATTTGCCACATATCCACTCATTTCATGGCTATGTTATTATTTAGAGTCTTAATCCTATCTAATCAGCTGTTATTAAATTACATCCGCGTTTCGTTCATTTAGAGTTAAATTGTGGTACACTTTGGACATCTGGACATATAATTACGCCGAGATAATTTATGGAAATAAGCAGAGGGCTTCGTAGGAGGCGGAGATAACAGCAATCTTATCGAGGTGCCATGTGGTAATGAATAAATAAACGGCGCTGATTTATATACCACGCGCTTGGGCAGCACGGCTCAAGAGCGAGGCTGTACCGGGATCGGAACGGGACGCGCCCGGCACGTGCGCGTCCACACCACGTTTCCTAATGAAAGATGCAACCCGTTGCTTTTGCGATGCATTATTTTTCACTAAAACGGGAGAGACGTAGGAAATTAAGGTGGGCATATGGCTTAAGTCTAAAATAGAGCCTGCGTCATATTCACATAGAGGGTATTAATAAAGAGAAAATATGCACTATAATCCCGTCTGAAGTCCGGGGGTTAATCAGATTTAGAAAAGCGAAAAAAACCTGTACGGTTTCGACACTGTCTGCCGTTTTTATGTCACAGCATTAAATTACTATCACATGCAAATGGTGATATTGGTCTGTCGCCATGACTACAGAGTCGATGTGCTTTGTGGGGCATACATTTCCTACAAGAGCAGGACAGGTGTTGTATGAAAATGAGCTATGGGACGGATACGCATTTGGGTGACGGTATAACTAGGGCGCATCGGTGTGAACTGTAAATACATTCAGCTATCGGACACAAGAATTAAAGAATAGGATATGAACGGTTTCTGAAATAATAAAGAATAGCTGTCGAATTTGTCAGAAATATGTAAAAGCAGGCCTTGTAATGTGCATTCAATAATTAAACATTTTTCCAATGTGGTGCTATTAATATTCAATATATATTGTAATTACACAATACACAACATATTAGTGTGCTGAATATTCAAGATGATGTAATCATATGAATTAGTTAAAAAAACAACAACTACTCTTGAGTGACCCTTCCCCCCCCCAAAAAAAAAAAGCCTTCCAGGACACATGAAATTACTTGCCAATTACATCAAGATAAGTATAAAACAGCAAAACTCTCTTTGGTGCAAACCAAGATGTAAATTAGAGCCATTTTTTTCTCCACATCAAATGGTTAAATCAGAAGGGGTGATTAAAGAGGGGAAGAAAACAAGAGGATGGGAGGGGGAAAAATAATTCGCCACTGCAATTACCTGATCACCAGTTGAAACTAATTAGAAGCCATTAAGTGGAAATTTCATTACGGATAATGAAGAAATCAATGCTATCGTGATATGCTAATGACACATCAGGCGGACCAGACAAAAGCATCTATTCACTCGCGGCTCGACGCTCCGGAGTGCCGATTAAACCCCCGGTCACGGCAGCCTGTCAATTTCGCGGTGACTGCCGGTCCCCGCTCCTGCTCTGGCTCCGCTGTAATCTGCGGTGGCTTTGTTGTTTATCGTCAGCAGGAACCCCCTCCCCCCCTTAATAATCCACCCACACACGAAAACGACTGCTCCCTGATTTACATGCATAAAAGGGGGCTGGACTAATAAGGCTGTAGATTAAGGGAAGATTTAGTTCAGTCTCTCGTGTAGATTGGGTGGCCCATCAAACAGCAGAAGATCTGACGGCCACAGATTAAAAGACGAACAGCTGTCGCGGAAACGCACTCGTTTGCTTCACCCCACCCCTCTTCGCCCCGCTCCTCTCCACCTCTTCTCGGAGGTCTCCTCGTCTCATTTGCATGCGGACGATCCAGCGTCCGTGGCTCCTGGCTGGACGCGCGAACGGCAGCCAAACAGTTAAATACAGCGTGTGGACATAGGAGCAGGATGGTGTTGAGGGAGGATGACAGACAGTGAGGTTCCTAAACCTGTGTCAGCTTGCACTGCATTGTGGGAAAACAAACCACAACAAACTAAAACAGAGCATTACAATGATGGGTGACTGAGGTGAAGTTGGACTGAGCCTGAGGAGTGGGACCGGGACACAGGGTGATGGACCGGGCCAGGATACAATAAAATAACAGTAACCTTAGATTTCCAGATAAAAAGACAGAAGTCCATATCTGCTCAACAACTAACCTCCTCCAGCTCCCTTGACAGCAAGCGTCAAAACCCTGCCACAGAACCACAAAAGATAGCAGACGGCCTCCCACCTGTTGTTCTGACCGTGAGGCATCTTCATCCAGCTAGCAGGAGATGATTAGCTGGCTCTGGTCTCCTCAAATATGCAAAGACCTTTCACTTCCCCGGAAGGTCGCGCCGTAATGAGCTGCCTGATAGGTTGTATTTTTCACTCTCCGCCTGCAATCTAAATGAAGAATCACTCATGTTTGCTTCCCAGTGCCTCCGTATTATATTAAATATTACATATTAAATATGATAAATGTGCCGCACGGGCTCAGTTGAATTCGTTACTTTGATGGATACCACTTTCACCCAAATGAATCAGACCTATCAACACCTGGGAAACTAAACTGAGATCGTCACCGTGGAGATGGGAAAAAAAGAAGGTCAACAAGTTTTAAGAAAAAAAAAGGATATAATATCCCCAAAAGTTGCAGGCCTTTGACTTTGACATCCAGCTCTTTCACTTGATGGGGGACAGGAGACCAGAGTATTCCAGGCTCCCTGATCCCCTAGAAGGTATCTCAAGTTACACCATTTATTTTGGAGCAATCTTCCTTTTAACTACCTGACAATCACTGCAACTCCTGCATGGAGGTGGTGGTCATGGGGGTGTATTAAAAAGCTACATAGCCCAGTAGTAGTTAGTAGCACTAATTGCTTAATGAGTTTACTCTCCTTTAGGTTGACGTGTCATTGAAATGATGATATAATGAAGCAGGTCCTTCACCGAAAGACCTTCCACCTGCAGAGCTCCTCATGTGAAATGCAAGGTGTGAGGGAGCCATTTTGAAACGTCGAGAGCGACAGTCCCATCGGTCCTTGTCCAGGGGAGCCGTCCGCGAGAAAGTGAGCCGCTCTGGAGCTCCCTGCGCGGGACCGGACTGAGCTCGGTGTAAGCAGGAGGCGGGCCCTTCTTCCCAGTGCGCTGCCAGGGGGAGAGACGCACTGCTGACGCAAAGTGAGTTTGGCAGGTCCGGTTTTCTCATGCCGCGCTTACAATGGTGCGTTCGGGAGCAGACTAACGGCATGGCTTAATGAGGCGACGGGCAGATCCGCTCACGCTAACTGCTAATTAAGGGGCCCAGGAAGGCCCCAGACTGGCGATTGGTGGGATAATGCTGGCGCATCTCCGGCTCACCGTTACCGCCGTCAACGTGTAGAATCAAAACCCGTTTGCCGGTAAACATTTGCAAGTCATTCCAGCTGTTTGTAAGAAAACACCAGAAGTAGTTTTATTGAGGTGTCGGGAACCGTATGAACACAAGCATCTCAATGCGGGTCAGACATGATGAAATGATCCCAGCCCCCTAAATACTTGTGGTGGGTGCAACGTTGGCTTACACTGGGGGGGGGGGGCAATTAGGGGCTTATTAGCGACCTGAGGAGCTGTGTGTGCAAGTTGTGGAGCGAGCAGTCGCCATCGTGGCCACGGCCCCCACCTCATGTCCAGCCGGGAACAGTGCGGGACTCTGTCCGGCCTAATTACGGCCGACGGGCCCCTCTTTGTTTCCCCCTGGCCATGCCTGTCCGATCCCCTCTCCTGCCCGGCCGCTAGCTCTGTCCACGCTGGACGTGTGCTAATTAGAAGCGAAATGGCCCCAGTAATTATGTCAACTCTCGTTACAAGGGACGACAATGCGCAATATTATTTTTACGCAATGTTTTGTGTGGGACGTCTGTTTCCAATTCTCATTAAATGGGGGGGAAAACAGGTCCCTCCCCCCGACGGAGCCTATGTCAGAACTCCTTATGTTTTCCAGAACTAAAAAGGCATTTTAACTGAGGTTGTCTATGCAATGGCAGCACATGAAGTTATTGCCCTAATTAATCGTGTTTTTTTTTTGGTCCCCTCTCTCTCTGCCCAACTGTTGCATTGCCACTAGTTCAATTTTTTCTGCGATTCTCATTGCGAACCTAAAAAGCCACGATGGTTACAGCCAGTCTCACCTTCAGCCACCTCGAAAGGTGCGCACTCTCTCTCCCGTGAGCCGGAAGAAAAGCAGGCTGTCAGCAGATTAACCCAACCTAGAAAAAACCAGGTTGACCAGACGACTCTCAAATCATTACTATTGTTCCTAATGGCACCACACACTGAGATACAGACAACATTTCAGACACTGGGACAACTAAGAAATTACCTTGGGATTTTTAATACTTTATTACACAATTTGGCTTGAGGAAAAACAAAAGTTAATTTCAGCTACGGAGAAAAATAAATACAGAATATACACATTTAAAAGCATGTACTGAATTATAATCCAACAGGAAAGCTACAAAAACTAATTCAGCCTCATAAGAGAGAAAAATAATGGTTTTGTGAACAAAGGGATCGGATTCGATGGTCTCTGTGAAACCAGAGAAGTGGTACCATAAGCAGTCAGAACTTTGTATCGCGTACAGGGATGAGCGGTCACAGCGTACACAGACACACCTAAGTGCAGTTCAGATGTTTGTGTGAAGGGCTCCAATAAAAATGACAGGCAGTGTCTGTGTCCAAGTCCCCAGCCCTAGGATGTCTGATGGGACTGACACTGAGCCCCTCCCTCCAGAGCTTCTCATTTTTTGGGCTTCTCCAGGATGTTCAGGAACTTTCCTCTGGTCATTTCCCGAGCTGAAAAACAGACAGGAATCATCTTATTCATTGGATTCAGTTTGCCAGTATGATGCTACCTGAACATTCATTCATTCATTTTCCAACCCGCTTTATCCTATTGGGTCGCGGGGGGTCCGGAGCCTATCCCGGAAGCAACGGGCACGAGGCAGGGAACAACCCTGGACAGGGGGCCAGCCTATCGCAGGGCACACTCACACACCATTCACTCACACATGCACACCTATGGGCAATTTACTAACTCCAATTAGCCTCAGCATGTCTTTGGACTGTGGGGGGGAAACCAGAGTACCCGGAGGAAACCCCACGACGACACGAGGAGAACATGCAAACTCCACACACATGTAACCCAGGTGGAGACTCGAACCCGGGTCCCAGAGGTGTGAGGCAACAGTGCTAACCGCACAGTTCTGCTCTTTGTACAGAAATAAATACCCGATGATTTTCTTTTGTTTAGACTGATAGTTCAATCTCACAAGCATCTAATTACCAATTGGCCAAATCAACTAAAATCACACAGATGTTTACAGCACCATTTGGAGGAACTACAGTGGTACCTCGGTTCTCGAACTTAATTCGTTCCCTAAAAGTTCGAGTTCTGATCGAATTTTTCCCATAAGAAATAATGGAAAACCAATTAATTGGTTCCCGGCCACCCAAAATTACATCTAAATATTTTTTATTAAGCATTTAAACACAAAATGAACAGGATAAAACAAGAAGAGCATTTTTTTCTTAATGGCTTCCAAAACGATAAAGATCTTATCCCAACATTACCCCTGTCCTGCCCCGATAGTCCGCTCCTTCCGTGTGTCACGCCCCCTCGTTAACCTCGTGTGGGATCCCCATGTGATCAGCTGTTTCTGGTTGTTGTCATTAGTCCTCTGTATTAAGTCAGCGTTTCAGTTTGTTTCCCCAGTCCGGTCATCGGGTGCGTTTGACTTGCTTACAGCGCTGGCTTAAAGCAATGCATTCTGATCCTGACGCAATGCATTACGGTTAGATGCATTGCGACCTCTCACCCGGCTGCACAAACTGGAACCGCCTCCGTGACGACACACCTTTGCCCTTATTGGCTGAAGAGTTTAGTTACACGCAAGACATTTGTATCCCAGGCAGTTCCGATGCGTAATCTGCTATTTCTCCGGAATATCACGTAAAGCAGTGAGAACTGTTTTCCAGTTAATTTACTCGGTAAAATAAAGTTTAAATAAATGACATAAATGCTCTAATAGTACATGTAAGTTAGTGGTTTATTTATTGTTAGTTACTGTTATGTTGCGCTGCTTTATTTGGTTAATCGTCCAGTCTGTGAAGAAGGCATTCAAGTAAGGATTGCATTGCAGTATGACTCATTTCCTGGCGCGTACAATTTATATTAGGTCAGCGTTCATGGTTCGACTTCTGATATTCAGATCGAATTCTAGGTCAAACTGGTTTGTTCGACTTTCAAGAAATTCTAGTTCTAGTGAGTTCGAGAACCGAGGTACCACTGTATTTCGAAAGACTGTCAGCACTGAGAAACAGAATGAGAACCAGCAGAGAACAGATCAAGCAAGAACACATTTTGAGCAGCGGGTTCCTGAGTGTCCCCAGCACTGTCCTGAACCCCTCTCTCCCGGGACGCTGCAGTAATCAAATTCAGTACGACAGGGAGGGACCAGTACTGCATACACTGGAAGCCCAGCGGCCGTCGGGTCGCCACACCCAGCTGAGAAGGTTGGGACGTTTACCCCAAGCCCCATCAAGGATTATGTGGGCTTTCTGCTATTCCCACGACACAGCAGTCCACTGAACCTCACAGTACTCTGAGCCACTGAGAAGGAGGAAAATAAAAACGGGAAGAGGTTATGGGTGACTGACGGTACCTTTGGCACTGTGAACAAACACAGAGGCCAGTCCCAGCTTATGACACGAGCTGCCAAAGAGACAATTCTGTAACCCACTTGCGTCCGTTTCACACAGTCCACCATGCTGTGTTCCCAGCACACAGATGGATCAGGCTACACACACAGACACAGACACACACAGAGACACACACAGAGACACACACAAAGACACACACAGACACAGACACACACACAGACACACACAGAGACACACAGACACACACAAAGACACATACAGACACAGACACACACACACAGACACACACACACACACACACACACACACACGCAAATCCACTCATCCTGGAGGATTAGGCTTTTTGGATTTCTAACATTTCTTCCCCCGTTTTCATTCAGTCATGCCATTTTTTTTTACTCCATACTCAATCCCCCACAAACCCACACCACCTACCCAAAATAAAACTCATGTCCCACGTGAGACTGCATGCACGGTATGGTGGGAGATCGGTGTCTGAATGGCCGTGCACATTCTGCTGTGATATGATTAGTCTAAATGACTAGCAGAGGCACAACAAAGCGATAAACCCTGCTGAGGATGTAGAACTCGGTCCCATTCATTGTGCGCCAACCATAGCAACAACACATACTGTATGCATCAATTAAAAAGAGGCACAAAACGGACAGTGTCATTTAGCAGGGGAATAATGCCAGTGACTTACGGCCACCATTCTTTGGTTTATCAGCAGGCAGTAAAAGTTTGCTGAACGTGCACTAACGGAGGTTAGGAAAGGGACGTGGAGCTGGGCTCGCTGACTACAACAGACCTCCTCTTCCACCTTCCACAAGCACTTACCCAGCATAAGGACACGGCGAGCCTGGAGTCCAGGCCAGGAAACGCCCACAAACACAGCCACACACTAGGGGCCATTTGGGGGGGGGCAAGTCAACCAAATGCGCATTCACATCCCAGAAAATAACTGAATAAAGACGGATATTAACAGAGAGACTGCACGTGCACGCTTCAGCTAATGGAATCAGCTCTAGAACCTGCAGAACTCACCGATGACTGATGGTCACACTCCAAGATAAAACTGTACCTGATAAATCGGTTTAAATCAATCTGTGGTACTCCAACCCCCCTCTACCCCGAATGAGTACCCCCCCCCCCCCCCTTTTTTAATCTTAAAGAAGCGGCCTAACATCATCTTAAAATCTGGCCTGCCCTCATCCCACAGAACGTCCGCTGCAGGTCCCGCCTCCATCCACACAGACAGGAGGCGTGTTTAATTTGCAAGACGTCGGCATGGGAGGTAATTTATACAAACATCTGTTCGTTTCTGACCGGAAAAAACAAAGCGCCACAGAGCGTGGGGTTACCAGAGTGACACAGCACGCGTTACCGCTTCTGAGGACACAGTTCTGAGTGTAGGAGAGTCATCCAACGAAGGAGGCAGCCTGACCTCCTCCGACAGCCGGGGATCCGGCGGCAGACGGGTCTCCCTCTCCTCTGCACGGTGCGTACATTTCCACTGTGAAAGATCTCGGTGTTCCACTCGTCGCCAGCCAACTTCTGGCTTTGTGTGTGAGGCTCTTGAGCCTGAGCACTCCTCAGCATAACAGCATTCACAGTGAAACTGGCACTTGTGATAAAGACTACCGCATGTTACACTACAGTCCCAACCAAATGGCACGTAAAGGATGTGGGACTCGTGGAGTTAAACGCATCCAATCTTATTGCACTACCTGTGCAAGCCATGGATTACTGATGAATAATAACCTCCCTCCTCCAGGGGGCTCCACTCTCACAAGCAGGTCATCAGAGTAGCACTCACCCTTTAGCTGGTTTACCTCACAGGGACAGATATACCGCTCTGTATCCCAGGCCCTCACAGGTTCCCCCCTTGAAGATTCCCATGAGGCCCACAAAGGACTGCCCCCCCCCCCCGTATGCAATGCGTGGCACCGTAAAGCCCGATGCACAGATCCAATCTCCCGTTTGGGCCCGATACAGTTTTACAAGCAGGATGGGTAAGGAATGAGAACTGAACGTTGGACCGTAAACGACGCCAATCAGGGAGGTGAAGACGTGATGATCCCAGCAATCTGTCTACTGTACTGTAGTAAGGAAATAGTAAAACTATTATCACATTCAATACAGGCCACAGTGTCCTCAAAACCTAAGAGTGACCCCTCTTCACCAAGAGTGACATTCAGCAAATCACCCAAAGTAAATGGGAGTATGGTAAATAAACAGGGTTAGTTAGGACATCATTTCTCACGTTGACCACTCAGCCCCAGAAAAACACCAAACCGTAACCATGCACAAGTCCTCATACTCAGAGACACACAGAGGGACATCTCTGTCATTCATCCCAACCTGGCTGGAGTTACCATGGTGAAGTCGTCGCCCTTCCTGCGAGGGTGAGCCACCTTCCCCTCCCCTCAGCTAATGAAAAGCCGCGCCGCCTGTAATTTAGCCGAGGCGCCGCGCGGAATACCAATGCTGCCACCGCCGCCGTGCCGCTTCACCTTGAGCTGTCCATCATCGGGTTAAACATGATGCTAATTGGATTCGCATTGATTAATTTCTCTCCGCACTGTCTATTCGCATAACACTTAACAAAATAATCAGAGGCCTGGACAGGCTGGCCAGGTCTGAAGAGAAGCGGATCCCCGAGAATCTGGGTGGGGGGCTTGGGGCGAGGGGGGGATGAATCAGTATGACCCGTAATTACTGCTGTCCACATACCATTTTCATATCTCGGCACATTATGGCAGACGAGAGTCACCGACTGTGTTTCCGGAAACCACGTCTGACTCCACAAGTGGTGGAGGGGTGTGATTAAATCTTTAGGTGTTTCATATTTTGTTTCTTCGTGACATTTACTAAAGCTCACAGATATATAAAACATGACTTCTCTAGGTAGGAGTATGTGAGCGTGAATCCAAGCGGGACACGATCAGGACCGCCGGTAAACATTTTTGGGGCCACTATGCTGATTAATCCGTTTCTTCTGACCAGGGTACCTGCTGGTCGCTGGCAAATGGAGGCGCCGCACAGCGATTCGACCTGCTGACCGTGGAGCCTGAGGAGGCTACATGTCCTACTGGCCTCACCGAGGTCCCTACAGCGGGGCCACACAGACCCCG